GAAGATCTAGAATTTTTTTCTCCCTGAGTATGTCAGGCAGCTTCTGATAGGCTTCCCAATTATCCCATTTTTAGGAATGCTCTGATTAGCCACCACCAAAGATCCCTGTGGTTCAAAATTCTTCTAATTACTGTTTTAGTCCTGTGGCCTATTGTAATAGTTGCACTTGTCTAAGATCATTAGACCCCATCACCTGAGCTTTACTATTCTCAAAATTCACATTAGGATCAGGTAGTCCAATTCTACTACAGAATTATCCACTATCCTTTCCAGCCTACTGAACACAGGCCCACAAAAATCTTCAAAGATGCTGGTGACCCTCTTACCAATGCATTTTTTCATGCCCTGGAGTATGTCTGCACAAATGCCCCTAACCTTTATATCAGGGTTCCACTCCTTACTTTATTGTAAAAGCCTACTAGTGTCTTTACTGTATTGTAGAAGCCATCGCAGGTGGAGCAATTAATAGGCAGTAGAATTGCAACATCATGAGGATTGAGGCTTGCTTTGCATCTATATCTACCCTAATATGAAGGACTCCTTTAAACTTGTCTTTGAAAAGGCCTCTAGTACTCTATATGTGTTCTCTGTTGCATTTTTGTAGCTTCTAATGTTCTTTTTCCTACGCATAATCTTTAAGGTGATCAGATGAATACAGGTGACTCTACAACCTTTTTCACAATTATTTTTGCCTCAGTGCTTAAGTGACAGAGTCACTTGATTTCTCAAAGCTTTGGATTCTACCTGCACTTTATCCCATGTCCTCAGTGCTTTTTGAGTAATCATGATACCACTACATGCCATGAACATGTGAACCTCTCCTAATATCTGTCCCCCCCTCCTGATCTCCATTATAGGGAGATGATTCTTTCCTTTCTCAAATAAATGAGCAACTCAATTCCCAGGATAATTTCTTATATCTATTAATGTATCTGAGAAGTGCATTTCACACAAAGAAGCACATTCATATTGGAAAATCTGAGGGGAATTTTTAACAAAGGAGAATATACAAAAGTGTGAGAAGGGTATTGGAGAACCACAGGGATATTGTAATACACCATGGCTAATAAAGGTGAGATTACCAGAAGTGGGCTTAGGGACAAAGAGAAAGATAGGTTACTAAAACTTGGAGATACAAAGCTTATGAGGAGACAGCCACTGTTTAGGAACCTTGGAAGAAAAGATTCCATCAGCATCTGATGACACAGCAGGAAACAAGCTAGGAAGAATATTTTCTGACCACATTCTTTCCTGCTGGCTTCCAGAAGACAAGTGAGCCTTTTGATATGGTCAGATTCTCTTGGGCCACAAAGCAGGGTAGAGAGGGGTGGAAGGTGAATCAAGATGGGAAGATAAGGCCATAGCTAGCACCTGGTAAGGGCCATATTAGGAATAAACACCAGGAATTGTGCCTGCAGCTTTATTTACGTAAGAAGGCAAATAAAAGGCATATTGCTCTACAAAAGTTAATTCTAGCAACATTGAGATTTACCTGAACTGATCTACTGTAATAAGAAACACACCTTCATGGCACTGATCCATATTAAAAGCATAAAACATACTGGTTAAGAGTGTTGTTTTATAACTGTGGGTCTGAGGGGTTTGGGATAATTTATACCAACTTTCCAGCTTTATTGATAACAGTAAGGTTGATCTGGTACTGGTAACCCTCCCTGCAAAGAGTTTTTCTCCTGGGACTATCTCCATAGCAATCATATACCTACATACCAGACACCTGAACTAAGACTCCATTTTGCATTCTCTGGTTTTCTATGCATACATGAATAATTCCTTATCTGAAAGAAAAAGTGTAATTTGTCAGAGCTCTTATAGACAGGAAATACAGCTGAAGTTTATACCTGAAGCTTATAGCTGATCCCTCCCTCTGAGACAGCATTTGGTTATGATATACATCTTTAATGCTGTCACTATATTGTATCTGTTTTTCTGCAATAGACTATAGGTTTTCAATCATTACCATTTGGGGTCCCATGAGTCTTGTTAAGCATAGAACTGCTTAGTTACCACAGTTAGCATGGCATCTGGTACAGAAAATACATCATAACATATATGAGATGTCTTGCCTTTGCCTTTGTTTATAGGTTCAATTTTCTCTAAAGAAGCTTTCAGGATATGTGCAATAGATATATTAATCCTTGCCTTTATGGATTCTTATTCCCAATTTTTGTTTTATAACTTATAATGGCCTTTACCTCCCTCATCACCAAAAAATAGAGACACTGTAACATTTTTCTTCTGCTTACCTATAGTTTACACTTAATAACACTAAGATCATAGTGAATATATAAATCAATGGCAATTAGCCTCTAGCGTGAATCAGAATCACCTAGGAAGCCTGTTAAAAATTGATATTCTAGAGCTCCACTCAGATCTGAGGTAGAGGTCAGAAGTTCAGATTTTCAGCAAAATCCTTTAGTGATTCTGACATGTGGCAAACTAGTACACTTAAAAATGCTTTAATAGGCTCGGCGCCTATAGCTCAACCAGCTAAGGCGCCAGCCACGTACACCTAAGGTGGCGGGTTCGAATCCCCAGCCCGGACCCGCCAAAACAACAATGACGGCTGCAACCAAAAATAGCCAGGCGTTGTGGCGGGCGCCTGTGGTCCCAGCTACTTGGGAGGCGGAGGCAGGAGACTCGCTGGAACCCAGGAGTTGGAGGTTGCTGTGAGCTGTAATGCCACGGCACTCTACCCAGGGGGACAGCTTGAGGCTCTGTCTCAAAAAAAAAAAAAATGCTTTAATAAAATGAGATAAGGTTAAATTTGAAGCACAAACTCTTTTCCATGGTGTTCCTTTTGGAATTGAAAGTAAATGCCTCTAGAGAAGTAGCATCCACAGTTATTTATGTAGACATGGGATGATCTGGGACAAGATATCTTGACTCAGCTATCATCATTTAAAAATTTATTAAAAAACCTATTACCTGTCAGGCACTGTGCTAGGCATTAGGAGTACCAGGATAAAGAGAAGATTGTGCTTTGGGAATCAGAGTTCACTGTTTCTCAATTTAAAAAAAAAAAAAAAAAAAAAACGGCAGCCCACAGTCATCACAACTCACATGTACACATGTACATATATACTAAGTGAAACATAAATTTCACAAAATAATGCTCATTAGACCTACCTTAACATGATCTAATATGTACTATCTGTTTCTGATTGATTTTAGCCTATCTTACTTGATTAAAACATATTGCAGGTCTTGACCCACTGAATTTGTTTTAAACTATACTACTATAGAGAACTGAAACTGCAGTTTGACAAACACAGGCCTATTTAACAATCTGTGATGCATATTTGATGCAGCACATACACTATAACTTATCCTTCTATTCATGAATTTCATGAGTAGGTAGAAGTGAGGAGGCTAAAGTTCTCCTTATAAACATGTGTTTCTCAAACTTTAATGTTCACAGGAATGGCCTATAGATCTTCTTAAAATCAGAAAAGATTATGATTCAATAGATCTAGGATGGTGACTTGAGATTCTGCATTTCTATCTCTTAAATGATGCTAGTGCAGCTGGTCCATGGGCCATTATTTGAGTAGCAATGAATGCTCTAAAAATCACAAATATGGAAAAGTGTATCACGAGTTGCCTGGAAGAGAATTTCCTCTAAGAAATAAAGGCAAAAAAAAAGGTGACTCAAATTTTATCCCAGGTGCCCATATCTGAATCTATTGGAGAAACGTACACCCCAAACACTTACAAACCAACAAATAAAGAAAGGATCATTTTGCTAAAAATCGAAAATCCCTCAGGGATCAAAGGATCATTGAGCTGTTCCCCTATTGGTTGAGTATAACTCTAAAGTGAGGGAAAGGGCTGAAATTATACTTCCATAGTGGTTATAGGGTTGAGTAAGTGAACTTGGCTCATTACTAATGCCAATTAAGTCAACTAGGCTTTGTCACCTTGAGGATGCTGGCACACCAGCAGAAGTGGAAGCCTTAAAAGGGTGCAGGACTTATGAGAAGGGCGTGAGTCTTACAGTGCCCAGCAGATATGACATTACCCAGGAGAGGATGGCATCCACCTTTACCTTCCTGGCCTTATTTCTGGATACAGATAAGATGTACTTCAGCTCTCCTCTGATGAGATCTTGCTTCTGCTAGTGCAGGAAAGAAGGTAGATGCCAACCCAAGACACCTCACATGCTTGGTATTATCTAATCCATTCAACAGTTCTGGAATGCAAGTATTAACTCTGTTTGACAGATGACTAAACTGTCCCTTAAAACAATGGATCTATAATAACCACAGATTGATTCATCTAGATATGAATCCCAGAGGTAACGTGTGTTCTACCTATCATTTTAACTTCTGAGAAGAATTTTAAGTGGCACTGGGCACAGTAGTTCATGCCTGTAATTCTAGCACTCTGAGACGCCAAGGCGGGTGGATTGCCTGACCTCACAGGTTTGAGACCAGCCTGAGTGAGAGTGAGACCCCATCCCTAAAAATAGCCAGGAATTGTGGCGGGTGCCTGTAGTCCCAGTTACTTGTGAGGCTGATGCAAGAGAATCACTTGAGCCCAAGAGTTTGAGAGTGCTGTGAACTGTGACGCCATGGCACCCTACTGAGGGCGACAAAGTGAGACTCTGTCTCAAAAAAAAAAAAAAAAGAATTTTAAGTGTCTTCACTGCCTTCATAAGCTTACTGAAGAGTTCTTCTAATTTCTTTTTACATACTATCTTTTCATTTAAAAAATATTTTGAATAGAAAGAAAACAAAAAAATGAAATTACCCACTATGTCACAACTCAGAAAACCACTGTCACCATTTTTGTTAACAAAACTTTCTACTTTTCCTATACATAGATGTACCATATAAACTTATTTTTTTTATTTTTTACAAAACAGACCAGTTCTTTAGATGACATTATAAGCTCCTTTATTTTTTCAAGGATCATGACATCTTTGCAATGAATATGGTGAAAATTTGCTACTGAAATCTAAAGCAAATCTTGCAGTTGAGTTAAAAGGTTATTGGTAATAAGAGGGGCGCCTAAAGGAAAATAGTAGCATAAGGTTAAAGCATAGAGCCTGGTAAATGCCTGCAAGGGCCCTAAACATAAGGGATGTCTTCAGTATCCCTTCGTGGGGCCCTACAGCCACCCCTGAATTCCCTTGGGCCCCTCGGATAGAAAGGGTCTTGTAAATTTCTTTGCATCCATAAAAATGCCCCTAACTTCTGTTTGCTTTTTCTCCTTTTCTCCTCCACCCTAGCCATATTGTCAAATTCTCTTATCATGTCCTCATTGCTGAAATTCATATCATGGATAGCCTCTTTATACTGCTTAAGGTACTGAGCCAGCCCCTTGTTGGTTTTTCTTTTGGCTTTCCTGGGTACATCATCCTCAGCTGGGCGCTTTCTTGCAGCCCTTGTTGCACTCTCTGGCTCTTCCTCACTGTCTGGCTCTCCCTCACTCTCTGGTTCTCTCTCCTGCTCCTGCTTTCCCACACTCTCTGGATTTTCTGCCTCTGGCTTTCCCTGACTTTCTGACTTTCCCTCACTCTCTGACTTTCCCTCACTCTCTGGCTTTCCTTCTTCTTTTGCCTTTCCCTCATTCTCTGATTTTTCTTTATTCTTTACTTCTTCATCATCTGTCTGTCCTTTGTTTTCTATCTTTCCTTCATTTTCTAAATCCTTATTTTCCAGATTTTCTGGCTTTCCTTCATGCTGTGGCTGTTCCTCATTTTCCATCATTTCGTGGTGTGAAGGCGCTCCTTCATTTTCATTGTAGAGATTTTCCATGTTGAGATTTCCCCTCCTTTTTTATATCCTGCGGGATCGGGATTGAGGGAAGTGGAGACAAAGAGAAGACAGGAAATTGAGGGCATGGGGTGGACTGCAGGTCTTGATAGCACTTGCATCTTGCCCCTGGTGAGGGATCCCCTACCACGGCCCCAAGTGTGCCTTCTGCCCACCCTTTACCCCACCATTCCTCTCACACACATACGTGGGCCCTCCATTCCCTGGCAGGCCTAGTCTTCTTTTCTACACTCCTTCAGCCTGGACAATGGGGCCCCAAATTCTGCCCAGGCCATTCCTCTTACTGTCTCAACCCTTCTAGGCGCTGTCCCTGCACCCACCCCTTTACGGACCTGCAGAGATTCTGGACAGATTGCTCTTCCTCCTCAGGCCTCTCAGAGTGCTGGGAGCAGACAGGGAGACCTGCAGACAGACAGGAGACTGGGCAGGGGCTGCGTGCTCAGCGGGCTCATAGGGACTCGGGTCCCTTTCCTGCCTCCAAGCCCTTTTCATCCGACAGAAATCCTCCTCTCCCGCAACCCAGCCGCCATTTCTTTCCAGGCCTTGAGCGCCAGACCGAGATGCTTTCAAATTGCTTTTGGGTCTCACGCCTCCTCCCCTGGAGGCAACCTGCTCCATCCCACCCGTTTTTCGCAGATGTCAATTTGCCTTCATAGGTACCGAGTGTGAGAGGGGGTTATTTCCAGAATATGCCTGCGTTTCGCTGTCGCACTGCGGGGGCGCCCCCCCCAATTTCCTGATCTAAAATGGATGGGATGCTCACAGGAGGAGGACTGAGGAAGCTAGCTGACCCACTGCAGGATCCTCCCGCCCCCACCCACTCTGTGTCTCCCCTCCAGATCACCAATCTCCCAGATCCCTTCCCCAGCCACCTCCCTGCTGTTCGGGGATCCTACTGCCAGCCAGCCACTCCACCCCTGTCCCCAGTCGGCCGGCAGCACCCGCCTTCACACTGACCTGCGGGGACCTGGGTTAGTCCTGTGCTGCCTTGGGCTTGAGGGAGCCCGCTCGCTGTTCTCCCGCCACTGGGGAACCTCAGAGACGTGGTTCCACTCCGGCGCCGGGACCAGACCACAGGGCGGGGACTGGGGCTGGTGCCCACGTCTGTGCCTTGTGAGTCACGTGAGCGCCGCGTCACTAGAGCTCAGTCCTCCTCCCCTCATTTCCCATTCCCAAGGGACTCGGAAGCTGAGACCGTGGAGGCGGGGGTGGGGTGGGGGGGTGGGTGTTTGAGGGGGGAGCGGGTGGCGGGGGGTAGGAGAGGGGATTAGCATAAGGAGTGTCACTGAGAAGAGAAGGAGGGGGAGGTTTTCTGACCCCAAGTGCTTTACCTGGCACATAGCTCAGCATCGCTCTCAGATGCACATTGTCCCCAGGTGTGACAGCTGATCAGAGAGGGTACCCTACTTTGCCTAAGAGCTTTCACCTTTAGCTCTAGAGCCCTACAACCCTCTTTCAAGACGGGCTCTGCCTGACTCTAGCCCAGGTGCTGGTGCCCGTCAGGGAGCTGAGCTCCTGATGCTCCCGGGGTGCCATCCTGGGCCTGCACTCTCCTCAGTCCCTGAGTTCACTCTCCGTGGGTCATTTTGTTCACTTCCCTGTAAACACAAGTGACTCCCAAATCTACATCTCCTGGCTATTTCCTCCTTTGAATATCATATCAGCCTTGCAAACTATCTATTGGACATCACTGCCTGAATGTCCCTGAGGGACCTCAAAGTCCATGTACCCAAATTGATTCGACCATCTTCCTTCCAGGCTTTTATGTTGACCTTTCTTCACATTTGAAACTTACCCTCCAACATTCAACCTGCTTCCATAGAGAATGTCAGATAGCTAGTAAAGAAAGCCTTAAGACATTTTAAAATATGGTCCTCAGATGCACTGATATATTATAAACCTTGGTTCACAGCACACATTTATCATTGACCCATACTTGTCTCTCTTCTTTCCCTCCCCCCCCATTTTTTCCTTTCCTTCTTCTTCCTTTCCTTTTTCTTTTTCTTTCACGTTTGCAAAACCACCACCCAAAATAAAAATGATAAAATCACCAATATTGTAGTTTCTACAGTAGTGTCATTCATTCATATATATATAATATATATGCACATATATATTTATACACATATTTACTTATATGTGTTGCCATATATGTGTGTATATACATGTATGTTATATGAATGTGTGTATTCGTGTATAAATCCAAGCAACCACTATTTCTATTTTGATTTGCAAAATATCATCTCTTGATTGTACAATTATGGATTATGTGAGCAACACAACCAATTCTGATATGTCTAGTACATATTTTTCTTCACTGAGTAAAACATTAATCTTTCTACAATATTCTGTTTCACCAAAATGTATATTGGCATTATCACCACATAACAAATAATTTTATCCTCAATGTTGAACTTTTTAACTGAATTGTCAAGACTCAGTGTTTCCTTTTCATTAGTATGAAGTTTCACAAAATTATTATTATATGAATTTGACAAAAAACATAAATCACTGTTGAAAAGAACTGACTTTCTGTTTTTAATATTTCATAATAGTGATTTTAAGCAATCATCAATAATTGTTTGCTAAGTTATTTTGCTAATAGAGCCAACATATTAAAAACTGTCACTCCTATTTTTTAAACATGTACACAAAAAAATGGGGTTAAAATTAGTATAATTAAATTAGAAGAAATGTCATTTTATCTTAATTAGTTCTGTTCACAAAATGAGAAGTCAAAGGAAATTCTATGTTTGCATGCCTTAATCTGGCATTATTCTTCAAGTAATTACTATCTTCTGGAGCAGATATTAATGCTTTTTTAGCAGGTATGTAGATTTTGGGTTTCATGAAGTCAGGGATATTATTACAGTCCACTTGATTCATAGTATGCCTAGTATGTCAATAAACACGTTTCTGCAAGTTAAATGTTTATTAACTTTCTTAGAAAAATAAGTTACTTAATTTGACATACAATATTCACTTTTTTATTGCAAAATTAAAGACTCATTCCCAGCAATAAAACAAATATAGATGTAGATTTACACTATAAAACCATTAAGTGATGAAATAAGATATATGTATTTATTTTTTTTTTGTACCTAGTTCCTTTCACAGAGCTTCTAAAATCCTTGGAATTTCCTGAATGATAATGAGGTGACTCTTAGTGGTCCCCTAGATAGCTTCAGGATGAGAGCTAGTTGTTAGAGGAACCAACCATGTGATTAAAAAAGGTTAGAATTTTCAGTCCCACTGCCCAATATCCTGAAAGAAAAGACAAGACAGAAAATCAATGATTTAGTCAGTTATGCCTACATAATAAAACCTTTACAACCCCCCCCCAAAGCTTCCGAGTTTGTGAACACATCCACTTGTTGGGAGCGTGGTATAAATCTGATGCTAACTCTAGTCAGTTAGTGTCAGAATTGAGTTAAATATTGCACAATCTAATTGGTGTTTAGAGAATTGGTTGTTGATGCTGGGGAAAACACCTCAGACCTTATAGCTCATGTGGACAGCTCAGCATCTATATCCCATATACATTTCACAAATACTTCTGTTGTCTGGCACTTTCAGGTATTTTGGATGATACATGATACATGGCCCAACTAGGTAATCACAGTTGACAGAGGGAGCAGCATCAAATGCTTTTCCCAGCACTGCCCATGACATAAAAGAGCTATTTCTCTAGCTGTTCTTGTATTACCTACTTCATTTTAACAATGACGAGTATGTTGTCTTGAAAGGGATATGTTAATCATGGTGAATTAAGATGGTGTCAGAAAAAAAGACACTGAATAGTATAAGTCATCTTACATAGGTGTAACCAAGTGTTAAAATGAGAATTACCTACTGCAAATGCATGTGACCCACTACTGGACAAAACTGCAAAAATGTAAGTAAAAAGTCAGGGTCTGTGGTGGGCTTAATGATTGTCCTTAAAGATATGCAAATCTTAATCCCTGGCACCTGATAATTTTACCTTGTACACCAAAATTGGACTGCAAATGTCATTAAGTTAAGAATTTTGAGATGGGGAGATTATTTATCATGGATTATCCAAGTAGGGCCTAAATGAAATAATACATGTCCTTATAAAATGGAGGCAAAGTAAGATGCTACTCTGCTTGTTTTTGAAGATGAAGGAAGGTGCCTAGAGTCTAGGAATGCAAGGAATAATGCTCTAAATGCTGGAAAAAGCAAGAAAATGGACTTTCCCCTAGAGCTTTCAGGGAGAGGAAGATCCTGACAACACCTTGATTTTAGCCCAATTTTGGAGGTTTGATTTTCACCACTGTAAGAGAATTAATGTGTATTATGTTATATAAGAACCACACTCTAGTTGATTTTTCCACTGGAGCTCCCCATGTGTATTATTTTAAACCACCAAATTTGTAGTTGTCACAGCAGTACTAGGAATCTAATTCAAAGTCTACTAAACATGTTCTGGCTTATTTTGACAATAAATCTCACAACAACAGTACACTGCTTAAAACTCACAACAAAAGTACAACTGGAAAATGTTAAATTAGATAGGTTCCTAGGCCATAGACAACAATTAGAACTGTTCAGGGAAAATCTGGAGGTATGTTTATCCTAAAGATAAAGTCACTAGCACAGTCACTAGAGCATAACAAGTGTTCAAATTGGTGAGTTTTTCAGTTTCCTGGACAAGAAGACTATGCCTTTAAAAAAAAATCAGAAAATTATAGATTTAAATGTAATTTTAAGAGACAATAGAGAGGTGACCAAGGGAATCCATATAGGGTCAGAAGACATCAAACTTTCACTCTTTGCAGATGATATGATTGTATATCTGGAAAACACCAAGGATTCTACTACAAAACTCTTAGAAGTGATCAAGGAATACAGCAG